ACTCATGTGGCCTGCCTCCTTCTCGGAATACACAATTTTTGTTAGAAGCAGGTCAATGACTATCAAGCAGAACCACCGGGATCGTTGAGTCAAACGCAAGGAGTTCAACTAAGGTTTTTGCTCTTTACGAAAGCCTGGATCGATGTGTTAGGGGTGAAGGCCAATGGGCTTCGTCTATGGGGTTGGAGGCTAAGCCTGACTCCAGGTGATCAAAAGGGGCTTCCAAAAAAGCAACAGTGGTACTGAGATTTACCATCGGTGTCTTAATTCACAATCAACTCCACCTTCGAGTCGTCAAGACTTCATGAGTTGGATGTCTGGGATTTGCGTTTCAGGCTGTTTCCTCAAAACTGTGTTTTCGTGGCTCATCCAAAATTTATACAGATTTTTGGTGGATGTGAGTGTGCTCCAGAAAATGTCTGGTGTGGTGCAAATTTTGCTGAAGACATGAGGATGTGATGTGGTAACGTTTCGTGGCAGGCACAGTACTTTGTGCGTGTTGGAGGGTGTCAAAGTCAAAGTTCAATTTTTGTGGCAGGCGCAGAGAATTGTGGTGGTTGTAACGTTTGGTGAAGGTGACTGTCGCTGTGACATTGGGATTGGCGTGTCGCGGCTGTGGTTGTTGAGGGGCTGGAACTCCGAAGCTGCTTGGGAGGGTGCTTGATGTACTCATTCTGATGAGACTTCCAGACTTCCCGCTTTGAGTGACCAAGAAAATGATCCAAGAGGGGGTTCCAAAAAACACAAGCCGTGCTGAGACTTACCGTCGGTGTTTTAATTCAAGAATAGCGTCAACTTCCGCAGACTTTCGTTTCCCCCTTCTCAGGGGTTGTTGCGATTGATGCATGGCTCACTCATGCTGTTGTAGACTGTGATGTGTCTTCGGGCTTGCATCACTGAACCCAACATGTTCCAAGCACGTTGCAAGCCCCTCCCTGTTCCAATGGTTTCGAAAACCGGGCCGCGAACGAGTGGAATTTTGTATGCTTTTTAGTTGAAACCGGAAGCCGCTCAAGCTGCCTTCAGTTTTGGAAATGCCTAGTATGAGGTGTGTGTGCTTCGCACCCACCCTTCGATATAGTTGCAGGGCCCGGGTCACAAGAATTGCCACGTGTTTCCCTAGTCCACCCGATTCTTGGATACAGCATTGATACTATACAGCCAGCCAAGCAGCTACAAGCAGCTAAGCACTCTTCTTGGGACCTCCCAAACCCGGCCAAGCAGCTAAGCAGTGTTTGGTCGAAACATGTCGTCTTGGCCAATGTCCAGGATCTTTCAGGCATTGTGAGTTCCTTGATGAATCTGGGGCGGACAACTCCTGAGGCGACTTTGAAAGCACGCTCGGACAGTAGACAGAAGCTGACTTCGGACAGACACAGACAGTAGTACTGCCTTTTTTGGGGTTTACTGACGGTCTACATGGTTGTAGACGTGCATTTCTTGTTGGTCCTCCAACTACACCCTGACCAGGTGGACCGCGAGACGTTCATGCCCTGTTCTTCGTTCGTTGGACCTCCATTTCCGCGGTTTTTTCGCGTGCTGAGGTGCAAGAGCTCGCCCGGAAGCTGTGCCAAGAGGCCGCCTACTCACAAGGTGGCCTCGCACTGCGCAGCATTGGAACACAGGCAGTGTCCTGGCGATGAAGCCCAGACTCCGTAGATCTCCATCACCGGAGTCTGGGCGTTCCAGATCTTCTTCACCGTTCGCCCATAGATCAATTGTCCAACCAGACAAAGAGTCGAAGAACCACTCGTTGGGAAGACTGAGCCGAGAGTGTTGAGATAGTTTCTTTTCTATACCACTCTTCAGGTGGTCTAGACATGATGTTTGTCAACTCTAATTCTATATATAATATATTCCACAAATATGGTACAATTGTACAATATAGTTTCTGACATACTACATAAAATAAGTCAATGCCACACAGGCAGAAATGTCGTTCCATTTTGTCCCGTTACGACACTCCCGTTCGCAATCTGGCCAGAGCTGACGACAAGTCTGTCCACAAATTAGACAACTGGGTCCTGCAACCACTGCGATACCTTCTTGTCAGAGACCAATTCAGGTATACCAGATGTAACGTCACCTGTTTGGTAACATGTTACCTCTTTTTTCTTCGCTTTTTGGTGCAGAACATCCCAGGTTTTGAACATTGCTCTCTCCGCCGTGGCCTGGGCGGAACGGGTTTTGCGAGGAAATCCTCTGCGTGCGCGGTCGCGTGAGGTCGCTTTCATCCACACGTTCCAAGTTTCGTCGTTCGTTTGTGAGAGTGCCATGTTGGACGCTTTGAACAGCAGTTGGACATTGGTGGTGTTTGGGAGCTCTCGGAACCAAAATATTAGAAGATGGAAGCAAGTTATTGTGGCCAGGTGATTTCAATAGACCTCGGGTTCGTTTCCATTGACCAAAGCGGATCCACCTGTGAATGAATGGTTGGGGATGTGTCCGATCATCCTGGAACCTGGCCGTCATCTTCTTATCTCCCTTGGGTGCATGCGCTATGGACTCTAACGGGCCAAGCCATGGATGGCCCAATTCCAGCGGTGCAGGGTGAATTCCTACCGATCTGGAAGGAGGGAAACTGAAGCTAGGTCAACCCTGGAAGGTATACGCTCGATCTTTGCACATCTAAGGTACGCCTGAAGCTCGAGGCGGGCGCCGCCGTGAAGAAACGGCGGTTCTCCGGGTCGATCTTTCAGTTCTTGCGAGGGGAAGAGCGACTGCCGCGCGAGGGGAATGTGGCGGCGACAGGGGGAGGTTCGTTTTGGGCCCTCCAACCAGGCAAACACAGCAAAGCGGCAATCGTTGGAAGTTCAGGCTCCAGGCAAACTCAGCAAACCGGCCAATTGACTTTCATGTTCTTCCAACAGTGCACTGCAGTACGTCAAGGTGGTGAGGAGTCCAAGGAGGTCTAAGGATGCGAGGATCGCTCTTCGATCGCAAACAGGTTACCTAACAGGTTAGACAGGGTCGCCAGCCGCGAAATCCAAATTTAGAATGCTTTGGTTAAGACAAGCCGGAGCGGCAATACATAGCTTGATATGGCTGTCTTGAGAGGCGTTGCTGGTGCTAGATATGTCTCGTGGGTAGCTTGGAATTATTTGCATTGGCTGGGTCTTGTTTCCCACACACAATGTATACAGATACATATACATGCATACATCCCAACATCCATCCATAGATCATAAATGAATCCATGCATCATGCTTTCATCCACCCATACATCCACAATATACATATTTAAGTATATACATATTTATACTTATTGATACAGTTATACATATTTATACATATCATTCCATCCATCCTTTCCTTTCCTTTCCCTTCCCTTCCCTTCCCTTTCCTTTCCTTTCCTGCCCCTTCCTTCCTTCCTTCCTTCCTTCCTTTTTTTCCGTCCTTATACATACATATGTCCATGCCGGTCCACACCTACGCCCCAACCACCCCACCACCACTACCAACAACAACTACTACTACCACCACTACTACTCGAACACACACACACACATACATATACAGACATGTAGACGTACGGCTGACAAAATACCTACAAACTTACGTACATGCTTGCCTATGGCCAGACTTACACATACCCCTTGCTACTTTCCGACACGCCAACGTATCGGTCCAAACCTCCTACGTTCCGCTACCTAGTTTCCAATATACTTTCCTACCACTCCCTACCGACATTATACGCATGCCTACATGCATACATTCCATACCTGCATTACATTCCTGCCTACCCACCTGCATCCATGCTCACATGCTTGCACATACATACCTAAACTCGTTTTTCATTTGAATATCAAACAACTCTCTTGGTAAGGGGGTAAATAAACTATGCCAAACCAAGAGTACTAACTGTTTTTTTCAGGTGGACCTTGACTTTATAATACTTTCTTATAGACAAGTGGTTACCTTGGTTAGCAAATTGCACCTGATTGGGACCACGAGTGATCCTGCAGTTTTCGCGCAGACCGCAGTTCTTCGCGCAACCGACTGGCAGGTTCCTGTGCTGACACCTTTGGCCGAGGGCATCGCACAGATCTTCTCCGAACGACGTTTGAACGACATCGACCTGCGACAGTGGCAGGAGGTCCAGCGCTACATAGGCGAGGAGTTTGAGTCCAAGCTTTGGAAGTGCCAATCCCCTGCAACAATGGTTTCAGTTGGTGGATTGTTGAATGATTCGAATCTTCGATCGCTGGACATCATGATCGACAGTACGTTCAAACATTTATGCCGATCTCTTGTGTTAAAACTGATTCAATCTGCAATAATGACCTGCACATGGATGTTTTCAGCTACCAATAAAGAACTGCGTTGTGTTTTGTCAATGGATGGTATTTCATTAACAATTGAAGTTGTAGAAGTATACATGTCATGTCACAAAAAATAATTCTTTGTGTTGCCTGATAGTGGCACCTCCTGTGCCACCAACAAAGTCAGCAACACACAGGCTGGCTCGGTGATGCAAAATCTCAACCTCGAGGCAAGAAACATCGCAAGCCAACACGTTGAACCGAATCGCACCGTCGAACCCGTCTCACCAGCTCCATCGACGGCCTGTTCAGCGAAGCTGGCACGTAGGACCGCGCAGATTTCTGCGAAGAGATGTACGTTGTTTCTTGGTTCCTTTATGAATTTCTGAATCCATGCATGATTCATAATGATTCATGATGCATGTTGCAATAAGAGCTCGCAACTTTTTTGTACAGTTTCTTTACAAAATCTGGATCCCGCGTGTGGCGCAAAAGGCACCAGTTTTGCGCTGTTTTGGCCAGGTGTGAAGCATTGAGTCACGCAAGCTTCATGTCCTTAAAAGGTTTCTTGGCCCCTGATCCCTTGTTGGATGGTCCTGATATGCAGAACATGTTCCATTATGTGATATTACGTTCCTATATATTTGCTGCAAATTGAAGCAATTCTCGAGCAGATCAATGAGATGCCCCAACCGACCTTTCAATTCGGCTTCACCCGAACTTGCTCTCGATGCCCAGGATGATCTTGAGTGACCCGATGGCCAAGTTCATCGATTACGGCAACGCCGTGTTTGAAGGCGCTCCCAAGCGCCTTTGCTCCAACAGTGCAGCTGCTGGGGGGGGATCTTTGCGCTCCTTGACGTAGTGTTAGTAAATGTTAGTAGTGCTTTTGTATGCCCAACTCACCCAACTCCAAAAAAGATGAGGTCAAACTGACCGGTAGGGTGTAAATGTACAGATCGATTTGTTTCGATTCCGGAGGATTAGCGGATCCAATACCATCTACCTGGAAGTGCGCCGCGACGCCGCGAGCTCCAGAGTTCTCCCCAGTTCCCTCCAAGGTAGAAGATTTGAGACAGCCAACTTAACTTTGAAAGAAACGTCCAAAATTCACTCTCAGAGCACCATCCACATGAACTACCATGCCTGAAAAATAATCCAAAGCCATTTGGTCCACAGGCAGGGTAGGTGTTTTCTCTTTCCAGGTTGGTGTTTTTCCTTCCCAAAGGTACATGCAGGGCATGGAAGAGGTCTTGTAGCAAACCAGTTGAGTGGTTCTCGCTTCACGGGCAAGGGACTTCTTGTCTCAACGTCACTTCACAGGTGTCACCTTCAAAAGCCCTGGTTGCGAGCAGGCAGTGGAGAATCTTAACATCCTTATACATCCTTATCCATGTTTTGAGGATTGGCTTTCCCCGCGCAAATCCAGGGTGGAAAGGTCGCTTCACCTCGTTCCAGAGGTTCGGTTTCGCCATGTCCGGATTCGATGGGACCTAGCATAGATGTACACATTGAAACCTGAAATGAACCACCCCAAGGCCCCAAGGCCCATCTGCCAGTCCGGAGTTCCAGTCCCTTTCTGAATGATCGCCTTTGATTCATCTTAGCTGGAAATACACAGGATCATTCAATGGATGTCCAATAGACTACCCTACCTACTTATATAGGATCTTATAGGCCTCCATTGGGCACCCGTTGGGAGCGCTAGGTTCCTGATGATTTCTGTAGAATCGAATCCATGGGCCCCCCTTTCAGGGCGTGCGTGCGACCGTTGGTGGACACCAGCAGCTGGGTGGATGAGCGTGCCTAACGGAGCGCTAGTTGGCAACTAACACCGGCGTTGCTTTGGACCACAGAAACAGAAGGACTCACGCTTGGTCTCTTTGGGATTCAGAGTCACAACTTCGCATTCCAGGGATCATGGGGATGTAGGGATCATCTTCCGAATCCACTTGCAGCAACTGACGGACGGCCGCGACGGACGTCGCGCCGTTCCCGCGCGCCCCGCGCGCCCGCGCGTTTGCACTTCAGGCCACATCCCATCCACACCAAGCAGCTCCCTGACTGTGAAGCGGGGGGGGTCGGCGCAGTGGACTGGTGATTGACCAAACAAGCGGAAAGGGAGCCAAGGACTGAGCCAAGGAATTCCAGATTCCTTGCTATTAGGAGCCAGGACGCTACTAACAGGGCTCCTGGCCTTACTACTAGGAGCAAGAAGCTACTAGGAACAAAGGGCATCAGGAGCAAGGACTCTACTAAGCCCCGTGAGAGCCATCTAAATGGAGCCATTCTAAACCCGCAAGTTCCAACAGATTCTACAGGGAGTTTTGTGGCTCCGAACGGAGTCGGAATTCGTCGTCCTAACAGGGCTCTGAGAGAAGCGTGAAACATCCTGGATGTGGAACTGTGGGACATCCTGTAGGTGGGGTATTTCATGGTAGTTCTGAAAAAAATCCTCCACCTGAGATGTAATTACCGACAATTGAGTCCGGCGATTGAGGGATTTCTTCTATCATCACCACATTGCTCTCGGCCTGCAGCCATTGCTCAAAGGCCGGAAGATGGTCCAGCGATGCCCCGAGATCCGTGAAAAATGGCGAGCAAAGTTGTTGGCCAAACTGAAAGCTTTTTTCCAAACTGGTGAGCTCTCAAAATCACCAGAAAAACAGCTGCTGTTCACCTTAAACGAAGCAGGCTAGCCTCCCCTTGCACCGGGCCTCTCCTTCCTTCGGCTCTTCGGCATCGCACCACACCGGGGCCCGCCTCCCGAGGTTCCGTGCGCCCGAAGTGCTGCTCAAGGTCCACGGAGGCGGTGCGCTGGGACGGACCTGCCGTAGTCAACCACCCCAGTCAACCACCCCAACTGATGTAGGCACCAAGAGAGGTTGAGTGACCTGAACTAGGACCTTACTGGGGTACCGAACTGGGATAGGCTATAGGGTCCTTCAACCTCTGTAGGCATCTATGGCAGCCCCATGGAGTGTTTGGGTTTGGAAGCCATTGAAGCCATTTGACCGTTGCTGTGTCCTTCGCACACCCCTACAACGACCCCAACAACGACGTCTCGGTCCGACGATGGCACCTCCCCGGTGATTCTGCACCACCTGTGAACCTGGTGCACCTGGCCTGTACGTTCGCCTCCACACAATCCGTGGCCGCCCGGGAAACCCATATATGGGATATTGATTATTCTGGAACAGTCTGTTCATGTTTGGTTCAACCTTTGTTCTTAATGTGTGTTTTTTCTATTGTGGCGGTGCCAGGTTGGGGCCCCGCCAGCGATACCTGGACATTGGGCGTCACCGGCTGCTTCCTGGTCTCCGGGCAGCTGATCTTCAACTCCCACGACCCGCAGGACCGCTGCCGTTCGGCGGCGACGCCCAGCCGAAGTGGGGGAGTTCGAGGTGGAAACACCTAGGTTGACTGGTCAATCATCGATATAAGATATACCAGTAATTATCTCTGTATTTGGGATGTCGCCACAGTGAATCAATGCATTCATGGGGTTGATGCTTGAAAGGCCGGTTATTGAGACACTCAATGTGCAACAACAAGAGCTCCACTTCCCTGCCCTTTGTTTGAACACGTCATGGCATCGCTTCAATCACCAATGGCTCCACGATGCTCCATGAATCTGTAGCTCTCGGTATCATCGAGCCATGAACTTCCGTGGTCCGGAGTCCACTCGAGATCCAAAGATAGATCTGAATCCTGATCCCAGACACGACCCATGGGACTGCCATACATGCCGATCAGTTGGGGTGGTTTTGGGGGTCAATGTAGGCATATGGCAGTCCCATGGAGTGTCTGGGGATTATGATTTATGATTTCTCAGATCACCTGAGATCACCTCAGTGAGCCCACCTTGATCCCCTTGATCACCGCTCTTCGGCCAAGGAACTCTTGCGGCTCATGGGCCAAGCCTGTGGAGCCTTCCCTCCTAGGCTGTTGCTGGCAGCAGAGGCCCTGGCCCTTCTCGGGTCGCTCTCGACTTTTTTGGGACCCTGTTGCGTTCTTCGAAGACCCCAAAACGACGGAGCTCATAAAGCTTGACATATATGGTTGTCGATCTAAAGGTCCTAATAGGTAGCGTTGTTGACGACCCTGGAACATGTCAAAATCTCATATCTGAATCAGTCTGAATCTCTTTGGCATTTTTTTTGGGGAGGCTGTTAGGGCCCAACATTGTCAAGCCCCTTAGAGGCTTCCCCTTCCGTCGCTCTCTCTGGAAGCAGCTGTTAACTCTTAAGGCTCCATCGTTGGATCGCATGCGCCGATCGTTGAGGATGCCCGCATGCGCCGCTGTGCAGAGAACATTCAGGCGCTGTTTCCCCGCACCAGCGGGCTCTGAACTTAAAGCCGATAAATAGAACCGCAGACATGCTCCTTTTGCGGAGTGGGCATCGCTGGAAGTCACAGAATACTCCAAGATTTGACGTGGAAGCTGCACTCCAGGACTTTTCACTCGATCATGTCTCACTATAGACCAATCGTTATTCATTTCAATGTGACGTGGCAGCGGTTCGCTGTTATGCTTAATCCTGAACTCAAGTCCACTCTCTTGAGGCCTTTACAGTGGATTGAGTAGATGGCACAGACCTGAAGCGCTCGGGGCTTTGGACAATACGGGGCTGTTTTGGGGTGCCAGTGATATCTCTGAAACCACTGTATACGGATTCTCAACCCTGTTAATGTCTTTTTAGATCTATGGTAGTTCATTTGATTTGATATAGCTGATCTCCCTGCAGTTCACTGGCGCTTCCACCGCGTCGCTGGCGGCGAAACCAGGCGCCTCGCCAGCCGCAACTGGCCAGCTGGTTGAACCTGGCACGGCACCCGAGCACCCGCCAGTGGGACCGAAGACGTCGGGGAGGGCTGAGACGTCGAGGAGCGATCGGGCGAGTCGTGGAGCGAATAGGGATGGTACACGACCGATGAAGAAATCCTTCGTGAAAAGGGGCAAAGATGGGACAACATGGGAAAGGCATATGAGATCATATGAGCATCAAAAGCATATATGTGATGCCATATGATGCCATAGATGCTACAACAGGTGTTCCATGGTTTCCATGTGCAAGAGAACTAGCCAAGCCGCACCAAAGATTGAGGAACAAACTCGTACCCGCTTGGCCTTGGGCTTCGCATGTGGTTCACACCAGGTGTGGAGCCAGCTCCACGGCTCAGGACCGGAAAGGTCCAGCTGAAGCAGCCTGCGCGGATCTTCTGTTGAACATGTTGGCGCCCGAACCTCAGTGACACAATGATGACTGGCCGCAGTTCTCTTCGGCATGGGTCGATGACTGGAGATCCCCCAGGAGAGCCTTTTTGTTGCCTTTTTTCTTCGGGGAGAGCATTTTGGAGCCATTTTCAGTTCCTGAGGAACTTAGGAAGAGCAAGGTCACACCGGTTTCATTATAAATTAGGACCTAGATAGGTCTCTCTCACTCTCTCATGTAGAATTGTAAAGTAGCAACTTGGCGGCGGCAATCATTAGGACGTTTACGGCAGTGATTTCGATATTCAACAGCTACTATACGGCTTGTGCGACAAGTGACAAGAGCCCGACTATTTGGGTGCTATATGTACTCAGATCGGGATTTGCTTTTAGTGGTAGATTTTGATTTTGCAGTCATCATGTCAAAGCAGAAGTGCAATGACCTTGGGTAGTGAAAGAGATGCACATTTCAATTTGTGTCATTTATGATGGCTGGCAAACCGCGTAGCCTTCAGTGCACGTGTATTTGTAATTATTTGTGTTATTTTTTTGTTTCTTCGGCGTTAACAGTTAACATAATGCTTTTGCCCTCCGAAACAATGTTCCAGCACCTTGATGGCGCAGTTCGTGGGTGCAGCAGCCTTTCCAGACACGCTGATTCCTTGAACCTTCAGGTTGGACCCTTCGGAACGGATTAGTGCGTCCGATGCCTTGCCACTGCCTCGAACGGCGTGTGGGATGACTGACGTTGGACCAGTGAATGGGGGAGAAGAGGGGACCTGAATTTGTGCTTAAGTGTTGTTTTTTTTTTTTGCAAAGTTGTGGCGGTTTTTACGCTCAACACCCCATACGGAGTTGCCCACCTTAGAACATGCATTTGTGTTTTACGTTCACATGGTTCCTGAATGGAAGAACATTCGCCTTCATGAAGTGTTCCACTCTGTCCTACCTGCTTCAATCTATTATGACACAGGCCACATGGATCTGGATATTGAAAGCAACACATGTTTGGAGGATTCCGGATTCCCGTCTACCTGCCTGAGGTGCCATCCCTTTCTGGCCGAAAATGGCGAGGGAGCCAAGGCGATATGAGCCCGCTTGATTTGAAGGGTGCAAACACGATAGATGGGGATGTCTAATCGCTGACAAGTTAATCGTTTCCCGCAATTCCGAGTGAACAGGGCAACTTGAACAAATGAGTAGGGCGGACTAATTTCATGATGTTAAGTTAAGATTGCAGCCAAACTCTTTTGAGAAAATATCAGGGAACCTTGTTTGGCGAGTGTTTGTTCATTCCGCTCATCCACTCCAGACATATTCTTGGGCTTAGGTCCATGAAACGAAGAGCGTCCGCTTTAGGTCCATGTGTTCGCTTCATCCTACTTGGTTGCATGGGGTGGGCGCTTGGATGTACACTCCCTGCAACAATCATGGAAGTGTAGGTGTGTGTTCCTTGCAACAAGCATGGAAGTGTACACAACACCGTTGCACAAACATAGAAGTGTACAGGGCACTTTCACACCAATCCAGTCTAACATGGAACTGTACATGATGCCCCCTCTTCCGCGGTGCGTTCCTGGGAATCGACCTGGACCGGTGTTTGGTTTGGCCGGTTTGGTAAACATGGAAGTGCCAGAATCTTTAAAGGACTGTCATAACATTCTAGGATATACTAACATGGAAGTGTGTGAAATACCCTTTGTACTGGAATGGTCATTAACATGGAAGTGCCTCAGAGTATATGAAGCCCTGATACAGACATGGTGTGTCTATACATGGATGTGTGCAAGCGCAATTCTTGCATTTTGTTCTCTTTGTGCTGGTCATCCAGATCTTTGTGACTGCTGTGCAGTCATTTTTTGAAGGGCTTTGCAAACCACAGCGAAGCCACAAGATGTCCTCACTACAGCATCCTACGCAACAGTAGATGGCGCACACAAGTACTTCCCCGATTGTATCAGAGAGAGAGAGAGAGAGTAGGTGCTTTGATTTGAGGTGGATGCAACATGAACTGCATGTCATGATACGTCATGGATTTCCTTCTGAGTTAAACATGGAACAGGGATGTACTGCGTGGCACTTCAAAAGGCCGCGGCTGTTTTGGTAGATCACTCACGTGCTCAGGGTATGTTTGCTATGCGATGTTCATTGTCAGCTCATGTCTCGTTTAGGGCAAAAATGGGGGTCCAACCATGAAAAGACATCAACAATTCGACAGCAGAAGCGCTTTGACACTTGCATGGATACCAAAGTGATGGGCCAGAGGCACAATCTTTTGACGGTTGATCGGCGGCTAGCACGACTGCCATACCTTCAAGACAACCAAATCTTGCGCAGACGTAGAGGGGTAGATAGGTTGTTGCTCTTCGCAACAACACACAAACAGCTTCCCATCTTCCACGTCTGGCGCTGGCGCTACAGGTGCCTGTGCCACCACAGGGCCAACTCCCACTGCGGAGGCTTTAAGGATCGGGCTGCTCCTTCCGCGTGGCGTGACGGATGTTCTGAGTCATTCCCAAGAGAGGTTGAGTGACCTTATAGGACCTCACTGGGGTACCTATGGGATAGGCTATAGGGTCCTTCAACCTCTGTTGGTCACTGAAGGATGTGGATATGCATGACGAACGAGAAGCGAACGAGACCACTTTGTTGGAATCATTTGGCGGGTTGAGATCGTTTCCTAAGCCAAACCGAAATCCCTTCATCCCGTCTTGCAGGTGGTGAATGATGATCGTTGCTCCTGCGTGGAAAGCGAGAAGAAAAGTTCCGAATTTGCTGGGTTTGAGTGAGGAGGTGGTTGCTGCTGTAGGTGCTGCATTCAGGATATTCAGGATGGGAAAGGATTTAAGCAGCTGCACGAGCAGGTTCCTTTTGTTTTTGGCCTTAACAAGATAGGTTACAGCCTACAGCTACAGTTTGCCACAGACTGTCCATGGCTGTTTTGTCATCCCCACAGAACCTTGACTTCCTGCTTCAGTGAAATGCAAGACCACCTCACTGCAATTCCCAATCCAAGAACTAAGAACTCAATTTGAAGGTGCAACCTGCTGTAAGTTCATAGATCACTTCAGATGAGCCACTTCAACCAAACGCGGCGTTAATCTCGGGGCGCCCTTGAAGAGAGTTGGTTTCTGTTCCATATATATATATATATAGATACAATACCCGCGAGACTCTTTTGGCATCCTTGCTCCAGTCTTTGCACAGACCCACAACCAAGTCTTTCTATATGACCCATATCATTTGGAAATATTTGTTTGGGCCTTCCTCCTTCGGTTCGCAACAAGAACGCTGCTCAGTCACTGACTGAGTTCTTCAGTGAAATCCAAAATTGGTGAGTGTCTCACATCATCTGACCCCATTATCCCTTGGAATTCCCCCTCCGGCGGAAGAAACGGGGCGGAGTGCGAGTGGGGCCAGGCAAGGGAAGATCGCTCCGGAGGTGGTCACCAGCGCCATGGAGAAGTATGGTCTGCACCTGGCTCCTTCGCTCTTCACGTGTTGGAGGGAGAAGTTCAGGGTGAGGGATTTGGTGTGCTACTTGTAGAAGCCATTCAGGAAATCGGTGGGAAGTTTGAGGCTGGAAGATCTATCTTAATTGATCCTCAATTGTTTCACCCTCCCCGGGAACGGGATGGGAAAGCCGAAATGAGTCTGTGACTCGATGGGTGTTTGCTGGACAACTCTGGACTCGGGCCGATGATAAAAAGGAAAAAATCCCCGGTCTTCAAACAGAACAGGTTGGTTTAGCAGTTTGGACTGTTATCCTGTTCCGACCATTCTAAAGATGGCTATCTGTTTTTATAAAATGGAAAACCGCTGCCCAAGCAGATATTCAACCGGTATTTAGCATGCGCTTCCATCTAAGTACTGTGTGTTTCATATGTTTTAGGATTGCTTTTTGTGGGTAGCATCCACTTAAGCAAAGAATAGCAAAGATCATCCTGAAGCTCTCCCAGCTGTGGTTGAGACTACCAACGTTAACGTTCCTTTTGGGGGGGCACATCAAGAGATATCTATAAGTCTATAAGAGTGTATTGTATGTATTGCAGTAGTTACATGCAGCGAGTCCATTTGAGGAGATTGCCATCCATTTGAGGATCAACCATGAAGCAAATTACCTTGTATATACTCATATCAGATTTGATATCTTCAGATCTTAAACATTCGAGATCGGATCAACATATATCAGGTCGGTCCTTCTCAGCGAACCGTGTTTTCTGCGCACGAGGACAGGCCAGACATTTGCATGGACCACGAGCTCTACGCCTAGGCGCGATGCTTTCGGGATTGGACGATTTGGCTTCGGACGCGCCACGGACGACAAATCGGACGACACGGAGATGCGGAAACCCGACGAGACGATCAAACTGCAGTGGGGTCCAAGTGGATGCTGTTCAAGTTCGGACGCTCCCTGGTCGCAACTTGCCGATCTGATTTCGTTTGGATTACTACTATAGTTCAGGTTAAGAAGACCCTTTCGGGCTTGACTATGGCTTTTATAGGGATTGTGATCTAGCGAAGGGTCTTGGAAACGCATGATGAGATGCCAATCCCAACCTAAAAGATAGTTCTTCAACTGATCACAACGCGGTCAGCGAATGTCAGCGATCACAATGTATAGAGTTGAGGCTCAGAAGCAATGCATTTCATGGTCCTATTCACAGCGACCTCTGCGTCTCGGGCGCGACCGCGTTGCGGGAGACGCAGGTGGTGAGAGCGTTTGGCCGCCGAACACAGCGGCGGCGATGGCCAGCAAGGTGTCATCGGATGAACAGAATGCTGAAGGACACAGCACAAAAGACTTCTACTTTCTGAATTGGAGCAATTCATGCCGTGTCGCTCTTGATGACCAAAGCCAAGTATATTTGACTAAGATCCAAAAATATCCATATCCAAGCACTGTTCTTGTTGTGGGTTTCTTCCACACATGCCACGGCCAAGCAGTGCCGGCAACCCCGATATTTGGAGCCTTATGGCCCTCGCGATTGATTTCGTGCGACCAAAAAGACGAGTCAGTCCATCCTGCCATGTTGGGCAAGTTGACTCCGGAAGAAAGTGGCTGGCAGGGAAGCCACCCTGCCCAGGGCCAGCCAATTTCATCAACTGTGGGCAACATCCACAAATTTGATTGAATGGACAAGCTGATATGATCAGCTCATCTCATCCCTGCATGGTTCGTCGCGTACTATCATCATTTCAACTGTTTAGTACGGAGACCCCCTCTTATGATCAATGAGGTGCGATTGATGTTTTCTCCTTTGCAGTGGGGTCTGCGTCCGCGGACCTTTCCGGGTGCCCTTCTTGGAATTCAATATGGCATGGACTAATCACTATTCCATGTGGCTGGAAGATGTTTGTACGTGTGTTCTTAATTGTGTTCCATGGACATCCCCTTGTCAGACCAAGCCTGTAAAGGGAGGTATGACAAATTCAAGGCTCTTGTTTGCTGAAGAAGAGTCGTTTTCTAGTCATGCCTCCAGAGACGACACCGCTCAGTTCATGGCTGCATTGACAAGGCTTCTGCCCTCGAAATTCAGGTGTATGAAGAAGCACGCGTGCTGCTTGGCATATATATGAGCAAAATTAAAGTATATCTAATTTGATCCACCATATGGCGATGCCTTGGGCCTTGCCATTCCGTTCCTGGACGCTGGATGACGTTCCACCCCTGCGGGATGGATGCTGCTCGGGCCAGGTCAGGTGACGGTGGTTCAGTCGGTCAGGCCGATGGGTCTGTGACGACGGCGGGCTGGGTTGGGCTGGTTTTGGTCCGGGCAAAATGCTTGGTAAAACTGTTTGTTCGGGATGCTACCCAATCGGTGGTGGTTCGACTTCGGTGAAGACATGTTTGTGGGCACATGTTCTGCTCAAGAACAGCAGCATGTAACAGCATGTCGCGATCAAGGCCAATACAGCATCTGACCCGGGCACTGAAGCTCTGGAAACAATTGGAAATAACATGAAATACACAATAACTTAGTCGCATTAATGCTTACCGGTGTGTGATTTCCTCAACTTATTACATATAGATTCAGGTTGGAGAGAGAAGATCTGAGAAGTCAAAGCAAGCTTGCCTTTCAGATTTTCACAGTTCTGTTCGAGCTATATATACTTAGCTTAGCCGAAGACCAAGCGAGTCTGCTCGCCTCGCGGCCATGGTGCGCGAAGTCTCTGGGATCCTGGTGAAAGGAGACCCATCCATCCTGACATACATCAAGCAGCTCGGTGAATTGAGTCATTTTGGGATCATTTTGGAGAACAGACACCATCCAAACACAGAACCCCAAATCCGCACAATCCACCGAACCGGATGTCGGAGCGCAGCAAGGCTCATCCCGCGGGATGAGACCCGGTTCGGGCCCTGCGGCCGTCCATCGGTTCGCTCCGTCGGACACCCCGGAGACCGGCGGAGACCGGTGGCGACCGTTCAGGTCTGGGACCTTCCGTGCCGGACTCGCCCAGGTACATTTGTCAGAAAGAGGCTGGGTCTGGATGGGTCTGGATGGGCTGGTCGGGCTGGGGTCAGGGCTGGGGTCAGGGCCATGGGAATCAGTTTAGTCGATTGGTGAAGCTGATGAACTCCCGCTGGCCGGGCCGGTGGTGGCCGTTCGACATCCTAGATGTTTTCTAAGTCTACATGTTTAGTTTTGTTGATGATTGGTTTGATTGGCTGGTAGAGGTCCTCTAACATGGGATAGATGTCCTATAATATGTCCATTCATTCTTTGGATTCTATTGGACATGTGGTTTCAAACAATCGTCTGGACCTTTGGATCTTGGGTGTCCTTCGCCTTTGAGACCTACTTGGGCTCCAAGGTGAAGATGAAGATGAGGAAGATCCCCTAATCTTTCAGCGGACACCCGGAGAATCCACGCCGATGAGTGAGACCCACTGAGACCAGGTGAGTTGGGAACGCCCGGTGAGCGACAGAAGACACACGAGTTTGGACACCTAAGTCCAAACGGACAGTTGTTTGTTCCATGATTTGTGTGCAAGGTTTGCACCAGCACTGGACAAGTAGTTGCGGTTTGGAAGTGCAATTGGTGAATATGTAGGGAGTGCCCCTAGCCCAGCAGTGGGCGCTTGTTAGTTCTGATGGAGTTTAACGTGCCTGGCCTGTGTTTGAGTTGGCAAAGGGTCGTAGTTTAGGCAGATCTAAGAACACTTGACTCACTTGACACGTTGTTTTTCTTTTTTTTCCATTCCAACTCGCTTGCTTCTAAACCTTCATGATATTCTGGGGAGGGAGGGAGGGAGGGAGAGAGGGAGGGAGGCTATATATATATATATTTGGACCCTCCAAGGGGTGTCCAATGGACTACCCCACACTACATATATAGGCTTCCATTTCCAAGTTTTCTTCTCTCAGGCCCATGCTGACGTGGAACACCTGGATCAGCAGCATGTCTTCTGTTCTGGCGGAGAGGCATGGAGATCCAGTGTGCCGTTCAAGTTGCACTTCTACAGATATGTCATGTACGTTACATCAGTGTCTCTTCACCTGGATAATTTCAATAAGTTGGCTACCTGTGGTTCAAAGCGAAAGCCACAGCAGCTGTGTGTCTTTGTCGCAGGAGGTGAGTGGCTGGCTCGAAGAGAAGATCGATGCCTTTGTTGCTCGCAATATGCCACATGGCTGCAGAAGGCTCCAGAAACACTGCAGAGGAGGCTCTCCCAGTACAACCAGACGACCTGTCCAACACGCGTAATGTGTGGACACGGGACACGCATGGTTCTTTCGGGGTCCACGAGATGTTCTGCCAGACTGTGGTGATTCTTCTTCCGTCTGACGAGCTTTGGCACACCCATTTGATGTGTTTTTTCGCGCCAAACCCCGCGGCCGCTGGAGTCGATGCTTCCGGAGCCTAGGCTGGAGCCTCCCGAAGATACCGCCACCTTCCAGGGCACTGCTTCGGCCGGGCACCTCGGAATCGAAGCGAAAGGCAGTGGGAGACTTCCGCAGAATCGAGCCAGGTAGACTTCAATTCTGCCCCCAATCTGGGCAGGGCATGCATTTGAATGAGGAAGCTGTTGAAGCACTGGGTGTTGGATGGTGTTGGTATGTCTTCTGATTTGGTGCCCAAGTCCGTACGCATTGCACCATGCCTGTTAGATCCACCTCTGTGGGATGGTCAGTTCAATGGAGCATCTGCCATGGGTGAGCAATGGAGCACCTGCCTGGTGACCGCAGTGCCTTCCTGGTGACCGCTGTCGGCTGTGCAGAGTCCGCAGGTCTTTTGCTGAACGAAGCTGGCTCTTTTCAACGAAACGAAACTGTGGCAACTGACCATTGATGGAACGAATTATATGTGTTGACCCACCTGCCACTGATATACCGTATATATCAGTATATAAATTATAATATATGTAATTATATGTATATACACACTATATGTATACCATGTATATATATATATATATATCAGTGGAACAACAGTTATCATGACTTGTCGTCCTCCTCATCATCATCCACAGGCTTCACGGTGGGATGCGAGGCAGTGCAAGCAATAGAGAGCTCCAGCTACCTCCTGAGAAGGTTTTGGGAGTGCCTAACTACCTTCTGAGGAGGTAGTTGGGAGCCCCAGGGATTGCCATGTTGCAACTGCCCATTTGCTTGCAACCCATGTGCTGCCAGGCTCCAACGAAGGGCAAAGGAAAGCAGCGTGGGTGTGGTGCTGAGGAAGTCATGTTCACGTCTTGCACGTCGAGTGGCTGGCTGTGGCTGGGGGGGCTCTAGCAGCTCAGAAAGTATGACCTCTTTGTCGTTGGATTCAAAGGTTACCCTCCACTTCAAGCCACGGGTGTGTCCACAGAGGGCAGCAGTTGGTGCGAGGGCAGGGGCAGCAGGGGCAGGGGCTGTAGGCCGGGATCGGTCTACAGAGGAGCGACCAAAGCAGCAAGACTCTGATAACTCACGACTGCAAACCATACCCCAGACACCCCACTCCATGAACTATATAGATATACGATGATATACGAAATGTCTCCTGAAACCATCCGAATGTAGGTGTATAATTATATATATATATATTCCATACATGGAGTGGTGGGGTACTACACTCTAGATTATCGAATGGTTTTGGGATCGCCCCCAAAGCACAATCTTGAATGCGTAGGCGGACGCAAGAACCCTTTGCGGGTGTTGGTTTTAGGCAAAACCACAGTCAGCAGATACAGAAGTGAACGGAGTGTTTCTGCTTGCCTATTGAATGTTCAATGTTGAGAAACCAGCCAAAATATGAGCACTGTTGTTTTGTAGGTATCCTCGGGAAAATGCACAGTAACTAGACCACAATATTATACAATATTCCTGCTGCACACCAGTTGATTGAAGAGTCTCCAACCCGAGAACACTCCCTGTTCTGCCACTCGCAAGTTGTTTCTTTTTTTCGGGGGAATAAAGCCCCACTGCCTCACAGAAAACAAGCATCGAAACCATGCAGACTTCAGAAATGTCACACCCATGTACACCTGCACACATTCTCCTCCCCTCCCAAGATACGTGTGAGTTCAACCAACACTACTGGTATCATGTTGCCAACTCTGTATCTCCAAGTCCGCATATCATGTGCAACATGGCTGCATTACTCTTGTTCAGCGGGATGCCAGCATTACTCAGTCTGTTTGAATGCCTGTCAGTCATTGTTGCGTGTGCATATATGGTGCATTGAGTACCATTGTTATGAAAGCAAATCTAATATATTTGGAAGACCTTTATCATGATTAATAATGTCAAGGCAGCTTTCACTAGGACAACTTTGTTGATCGTTCATTACACCTCAGCCCATGTGTTTTGTTTTGTTTCCGGAAAGCACAAGCCTGTTCTTTGGGTCTTCGTTCACACGGAATGTGGATAATGATCCTGCTGTGGCTTTCAACAGGCAAAAGAGAGCTGCCTCTGCCCATGCGCGCGGATCAGATGCGAGCTGAACAAAACAAGACAGGGCTTTATAGAATGGGATTGAACGGGAGAAAGTGAAGAACACAAGACATACATATATATATATATATATGTTTTAGATTTAGATTTCATGGTTTATACATAATATATGTATATACTCTATATACCCTAGGACTCCAAAGTCTATTAAAACAATAGTCTCAGGCCCAAAGACGGTTTCACGATTGCACGAAACATACTTTCACCTTTCACGCACGTTCACGCTTTTTTCCCTTCCTACTCTCCCAGCACTCTTGCCAAGCCATTCCATTCGGATTCACCTTCTTGAGGCCCGTGTCCTTAAGAAAGAACTCCCGCAAACTCAAACGATTTGACTTGAGCTAGCACAAATCTGCTAAACATTGGTTCAGTTGAGATTGTTTGAGGATGGTGAAGATAAGCCAAGACTCTTGTTCCGAGATGTGGAGAACTTCATGGAATGCAACCTGCAATTGCAGGACCCCCCCGGATCCAAAAACGCATTTGCTAAGCTTTTGTGGAGAAACGACAGCATGAATTGAAGGGCCTCAATTTTGTACATTTCAGGAGCCAGGCATGGCGGGTTCTGGGATGCGCCCTTGCCGATATGCCTCAAGCTCATGAAACATAAAGATGCGGAAACCTTTTTTGAAGGCTTCGATGAACCTAGATCTAGATAGAAGGTACTCCAAGCTGCTTTTGACCCAGCGCATGGCGTCCTCATCGCAATAGGTGTGCCAATAGCGTGGGTTGTTCCCTCAACAGATCAGGAAATGACAAGAAGCGCTGCAACTTCCCAGGCATGCATGGACGACTCACACAATAGAATTTCCAAGGCACGGTAACGAAGGCAGTCTTTGCAAATATGAATCAGCACCTGAGTGATGAGTTTCTCACCCTCCACTAATTGTGAACGCTTGCAGTGCGCATGCCTTGCACATTGTACTGGACCTGGTATGCACATGGTTGCACACATTATGTTGAGACAGGTAGCGTGAACTTTTGGCTTCATCAGCCAGGCGCTTTTCTGGAGCCTGTGCGTCAAGCGTCAGGTCCATGGAAATGTCCATGGACTATACACACGCAACATAGCAAACAAGTTTGCACTATTCTGCACTGGGCCTTATGTGCTCGACACATAGCGCTTTGTACATGTCCACAAACAGCAGTCCAGAATCGTGGAGCTTCTTTGCAGCATCCATTGTCCTAAGCAATGTGCGCGCAAGGTGAAAGTATGTTGTGTATCATGAAACCATCTTTGGGCCTGTTTTAATAGACTTTGGAGTCCTAGGGTTAGGGAGGCACCCATAAACTGTATCACAACAAATTGCACCAGCAAGTGGGGCCGACCACCTCAGTTGGCCCTTCAAGAAAAAGTATGGGAAGGCATGGCATCACATCAAAAAGTGGACCCTTCACAAACTCTCATCTCCAGTGGTTTAGGATATCGAATAGTATAGTGCACCTGGTGCATAGCCCTTGCTGCCACGCTTCAAGTGGCGGTCGTTTGCTTCCATGGTGGTGAAGAACTTTGCCAACGAGCTCCTTGGCACCAGTTCAGCTGTATTGGGGGAGCATTTGTGGAACAAGGGTTGCTGTGTAGCCATGTCATGTTGACAACTCCAGTTGTTCAATCAAGATTCATTCCCACACTAGTGAGCAAAAGGATTTCATGGTCAGGGTGAAGCTGCTTTGCATGCAGCAAGCAATGATTCAGCCACATCACTATGATTCTCCCGTTGAAAGCCTTTGCAGTAAATAGGATCTCTCCATTGCGCTTTTTGACCGAAGTCACAGTACTTGGGACCAAAGCCGGTGCAGGACCCAGAAGCACTTAGGACATATCTTAGGATAAAGGTCAAAAGACGACAAACAGATGTTTCCGGAGACTTCAACATACATCAACCGTACGGGGTTCCAAAAAACTCTGCAAAAAAAACTCTGTGCTGAATCATGAGCAGAACGGGTCACCATTTTGGGAAGAAATGGAGGTTGGGAGTGCTTGATTGAACGGGTTCTGCAGAAATTAATAAAGTGCTTGTACGCTTCCTCCAACTGATCGCTGAACGCTCCTCCCCCAAAATACATCAGATCTTCAATCAATAGCATCCTGAGAATAAACTTGTGTGTCAATCAACACAGGGTTTCCAAGATCACCCCTTTTATCCCTGGCAAGTGGTTAAAGTGGTTAAAGAAAAACGGTGTGACAAGCGCAGTTGAGACTCAAACTCCCACCATTCGCAGTAAACACCAAGCCCAGATTCAACGTATGCATCGTGCACCACCGCAGAAGACTTGGGTGCCGAAACATTCGAAGGTTCAGTAGTGGACCTTGCCATTTGCCAAACAAACCATGTATGCCGTATGCTACTGGCCCAGACCCTCACCACAGTCAACAGGAACCCTAGCTTACGATAGGGAGTTCACACATGAGGCACCCACAAAACAACTGACAAGGACAAGGTGCACAAGTTCTTGTCTTTGAGCCGGCGTGAGACAAACGCCTCCAACCCGAATTCCTCGGATTCCCAGCTCCCTGCATCACCATGGTTGTAATAAAGGCTTCCTGAGTCTGGACCTTTGGCCAATGCCGGGCAAAGATGGCAAATGGTGTCAGATTGCCAAGATGCCGTTGGTCTCCATACGTCCCGCACCCATTCCCAGTCACCTCTCAATTCTGTCAACGCGAATCGCGCTCCAGATCGAGTCAGTGGAATGGATGCACGGGCCTGATCATATTGCGACAACGGTTTCCCTCCGACACCCTGCTGAGGGTTCTGTCCATCAAAAGCTGCTTCCAATGACCATACTATCCGCCGCCAAACAGCGTTGAGTGTACGGTTTTTGTACACCACATGGTGTGGGCACGAAAACAGTAGGTAGCGTGAATGCCGCACAGAGCGTGGGCGGAAGTGAACAATGTTCATCCACACGGCAACAACTTTCTCGAATTTATGTTGCGTCCACAAGCGAGCAGCGTCTCCGTGAATACCGATAGGGATGTGTTTGTCAGTTGCCGGGCACAGAACTGCCCACGGCTCCTGCACAGCTCTAGCGTGTTGCCAGTACTGAGCAACTTCTGCTTCAGACACGCGGATGCCAACGTGGTCCCACAAATATCCGAGAATCTCGTGTGGGTGCAAGATAGGGTATGTCTCAAAGCTGACTCCGAGCGGTGCCTTTTCATTTTTCACAGGAATCTTGATGGCGTGGGTAGCCTTAGTTCTAGCCACTAGCCTATGGTTTGTGCTTTTGGGCAATGGTTTGAACTGCCAATGACCTCTGAACCACACCATGGACTGGGTTGGATTGGATTTCTTCCCCTGGTGACCATGACTTTGAAGACCCAAAGCCTTTCAAACATCAGTCTAGTCAACTGAAACAACTCAGTTTATGCAATGTCCCTAGCCGCAACCCTTCCAAATCAAGTGCAAGAGGCAACAGGAATCTGAACATAGCGCCAGAAATCTCGCACATCATTCTGGCCAGAGAAATGTCCAAGTCGAACTGTTTCGGGATGAGAAGCAGCTCCAGTCTCCTATCCCAGGACATTGGAAGGGATGCAGTGAGATCCAAAATAAATAGTCAAGATCCAATCAATTGGGTCAATTGGGGAATTTGGGTCATCACCAAATGAGTCAAGATCCCAACAAACAGAAGCCAACGTTTTAACTTGTTGATCGCTGGGGTCTACTGTGCTGATATATACCCAAGAACTTTGAAGGGCGTCCAGCAATCCTGACACATGCTGCGATTGCAGCTGAGGCGCAGCAAGCTGATTTCGGACACGCTCCATGACCTTTTTGACGGAGGTTGCCTGGCTGTGCGAGCGTTGGCTGGTGATGAGTTCGGGCTTTGGACAAATGCACGCAACCCAAATGACCCAAGGGAGATCGGGACACACCAACAATTGGTTCGATCCACCACCAATTTAGTCAAAGCACGCCAGATGCAACGTCATGAATGTGTCCCTGAATGGAATGCGCGACGCCAGGATCAGCCAGACCTGCATAGGGAGGACCAAGCAGTGTGCACATTAGAACTATGGGGCATGATATTGGATTTGCTTCAAGTGCCGGGAGCAAATATATTGCGATATTCCAAGGGTTACCTGCACATGAAGGATCGTGGCCACAGTAGCTGCTAGTACTAGTACCTCAGAGCTATATGAGACGCCTTGCAATGACATTGATCGACAAGGGGCTGATGTCGATTGCATGCGTTCTTTTTCTCATTCTGACCGCCGGTGTCCAGGCCAGACCTCCCTAAAGCTGAGGGTCGAACACTAACCCAGCCTGCCGTTGTTTCAAGGCAAGCCACGACTGTTGACCGCAGCACCCCAAGATTATTGTGGGAGAATCATGGCAACATCTCACTCAGGCACAGCCAGGAACCACCCGAAGCATCCCCAATATCAAATCTATAAAGTGGTTGAGGTTGTCAGTTTGAATCATTTCAACAACCACAACATGAACATTAACAAATCCTCAAGTAAGAAATCTTACCCGAAACACTTTGGAATTTGCAAGGGTGAGCGGCATTGATCAATGGCCATCGTGGCCGTCGTCCACTACATCAAAATTAAAATCAGACCCACTATCAGACCCAACCGCCCGGTCACTTGATGTTGTAAGCCCCAAGAAGCTGGGTGAAGCCAGAGACCTTTGCATCAGCCACGTCCACATCAATCTGCAACGTTCCGAGATTGTCCACCTGCAGCGGGTCAGCACGTGAAAACTACAATGGGTGAATGTCATGGTAGAGCCCAAATTGCAGTCCCCCAAATGGTTGTCAGGTCATGCACTGACGTCGATTCGGTCAGAATTACTCAATTGACCCTCGGCCCGCCTTGGCATCATCCACACTTTTTTGCAACTTGGAACGAGCTTTCTTCAAGGCACATGCATGGGGTTTGACCTCTTCCAGGATGGCGGTCACCACAGAAGCACTCCTGGCAACAAGCGTCCACCCAGGGACACCCCCCACCCAACAACTTGTTTGGCCCTCTTCACACATGCACATGTGAGTTGAACGTATGGTGAATGAAGGTGCATGACCATGTATGTTTCTAGGTCCAGTTGAACCCAACCTTCAAGCTCTTCGAACCGATTCAAGCCAAGGAACATATTGCGAAGTTTGTCATCAAGGCTTGTGGACTTCGCGATCGCTGCAGAGATCTTTGAGAGCGCCTGCAGGAGTGATGGGGCATGATAGGTCGTTGGTGAGGAGACATGTGCCCAGCCTGAGTTCCCTTTTTTAACTCCTTCTTGAAGGCATCATTCTTTACCTTCTCCGCTGCCTTTCTCTCCTCCTCCTTCCTCTTTTCTTCTTGCTTCTTTTGTTCAGCTTCTTCCTTGGCCAAGCGCTTTTTCTTTTGTTCCTCCGTTTCCTCCTTTTTCTCTTCTTCCTTCTCCTTCTTCCCTTCTTCCTTCTCCTTCTTCCCCTTTTTATCCTTCTTATCCTTCTTCTCTTTCTTCCTTTTGTTGTCTTTTGACTTCTTCTTCTGACTTTCCTGTCAAAATCAGCACGCCACGATTACAACAACCAAAAACAAGTGACCCATACGCTCCAAATCAGCTTTTAGGTCTAGGTGTCGAGTCATTCAATGTTTTTAGATGTCCGAGAGCTGCTATATTGACTTCACACCCCATGCATGCATGCATGCATGCATGCATGCATGCATGCATGATAAGCATTTTTCAATTTCAACCTGCATGCTAATTTAGTTCAACCTGTGTCAGATGGGGAGCCTGCGTTGTCGATGATGAGGAACTAGACTTCGAGCTGTCAGAGGATGATCTGCTTGAGCTGATTGAGCTGGATGAACGCTTCTTCTGCTTCTTCTTCTTTGACTTGCGATCTTTGTGATCTTTCTTTGACTTCTTCCCTTTGCGATCCCTCGACCTGCCTCTGCTCTCATCGCCATCATCACGGTCGACAGCTTGGAAAATCTTGGAGGTAACCTCGTCCACGGTGGTTTCTTCACATTCCTTGTCCCAGGTGAGGTATTGTCGGGTCTCCTTGGTTGAGACATGCATGCGTGCATGAAGCAATCTGGGACAATCAACCCAACAGGTCAAAGACCTCATTCTACTGGACCTGGACTTGACCATACAAAATTTCCATATACTCAATTGCAAGGATGTCAAAGACCAAGTTTTACTGGATCTGGATTCGGAGGAGAAAGCAAGGGAGCAGTCAACAGGTGGCAAACATATAGATCGATCAATGGAGGTGTGTCGTCTCAGTTTAGTTTACTTGAGGCTTGGAGCGCTTGGAGTTTGATAGCCAACACACTGAAATAACACCAACATCTCAAATGAAGAATTGACCTTGGCTTTGCAAAGAGTCGTCCGTATCTAGGCCATGTAGATCCGGATTTGCCCGGACATGGCTCCGCGCCACCTCAGGGTCCAGGGTCTTCGCTGCTATGATGTCTTCTGCGGCCTGAGCTCCAAATTTGCATTGGAGCTCAAGCTTCGTCATCCACCGTCGTGACCCATGGGTCCGGAAGCGGCGCTTTTGGCGGGCCTGTAAGTAAAAATCGCTTTGCGACCATTGACCACTGCAGCTGGCCCATTGCTCGTAGAGGACCTGGAGCATCGACGAGTCACGGAATGCAGCAGCTCCTGCTTTTTTCACCTCTGCCGGTGTGCGAGGACCTCAGGACACATTTGGGTGGAGAGACACCAATGGATCTAACGCACACAAAGCATGCCGCCCCACATGCACATGCAAGAAACCACTAGCCATCATGATGTGGCGACATGGCAAATATATAGATCTTTGTGGTTCAGCAGGGCCCAGCATGATCTTCATGCATGATTTTCATGAGAACGCTTAATTGATCAAAGCCACTCTTCAAAGAACGGGAGAACCGCATGAAGCGGGCGTGAGCTTCTCTTTTTTTTTGCTTTCAACTCCTTCTGTCGTACCTCCTCCGAATCCACGCTGTCGCTATCACCGTCACTCATGGAGTCTTCATGATCATCATCTGTCGACTTGGGCTTCCCAGTCTTCACTCCATCACCATCATCCTTTGACTTGGGCTTCCCAGTCATCACTCCATCATCATCCTTGGACTTGGGCTTCCCAGTCTTCACTCCATCACCATCATCCTTTGACTTGGGCTTCCTAGTCTTCATCCCCGAAGTCGGAGTCTCACTCTTACCACCTGGAGGGGTTGTAGCTGCTGCATCAAGTTCCTTGGTCGAAGGTCTCCTGAGACATTGATGCACAGCTGCTGCTGTTTGTGCGGATGCCGGACTCTGCTCTTGTTTTGCTGGACGCTTCGGAGCTGCCTTGGCTTTCACTGCCGTTTGCTTCGAAGTACTTGCTTCCCTTGGCTCAGGCAGCACAGGCTCCAGCAATTCTTTGCTTTGCACCTCTTTGGACAGCTTTGTCCGTGAGCCATCAGCGCTGTCACTCTTCTTGATCACTTTGGTTGGCGGTGTCACCAACGAAGCATCTTCCTGGCGAGCCTCCCTGGTCTTTTCAACCGCCATTTTCTTTGCTTCTGGCGTTGGTGCTGGAACGGTTGAAGCATCAGAGTCTGGCGCAAGTTGACATGACTTCTAAAATCTTCTAAAAGAATGAGTTATTGAGTTTCAGAACCTGAGCAACCTGGCATACTAGTTTGTGCCACTCGTGATGTGCATGGTAATTATCGACTTCATTGCGCTCACACTATAATTATACACACACTTGCAGGAATGATGAAGATCATCTACATTGTCGACTTCGGGACCTATTATGGATGCTTGTTGCTTGTGACGTGACTTGGTATGCAAATGTTTCAGGTGGCCATCCAGCCTGCTTCCGGTGGGACTCTCTTACGGCTTTTCTGCTTTGGGGCGCCCGTCCTGGACATCGGGCATTTTGGTCTAAGTACATCCAAAGTGGAACCACCCAGAGACCCCAGAAACAAGGAAAAACAATGTTGGTGATCACATTTGGTGAACAAGAATGCGCACATAAATTGAACAACCCAATCCTCATGGGATCGACAGGGGGACCACCATCACCTAGCTCTTGATGTGTTGCAGCCGCCCGACCTGCCCTCGCGGCGGCCCTGGCCAACACATCTTCCACAGAATCTGACATGTGGCCTGTGTGCGCCTCAAAGCTCAGTCGAACTCAGTGGCTGCAAGTGCGGGGAGCTGTGCAGCCCTGATGTTTCCACATCAACTTGAAAAAATGAAACATCTTGGAAATGAAGCAGAATTTCAATATATTTCAATGATTTTTAGGGTTTCGTCATTCACGCCTAAAAACCTGTTTTCACGCCTAGGAATAGTCGTTCACGATTAGTTCACGCTCGTTCACGCTTTTTTCACGGTGGTTTCACGGTTGATCGTTGTTTCATTCTCAGTTGAATTGCCTGCGTTGGTTGGCACTCCCTGGCACACCCTGGTGACCAAAGTATGTTCAAGCAACTCCTCCAATTCTAATGGTGTATCTGGGTGATTCAATCACAACAAGCTTGTTTCAACTATCAATGCAGGGTTGCCCAGGTACACCTATGCATCGGCTAATTATTTGCCAAAATAGCTTAGACCACTGCTTGGACCCTCTTCAGTCATCTAAACCGAAGCTAATCATGGGATGGTACCTCCCAGAATCCCTCTCACTCCGCAAGAAGTCACGGATCTCCGACAGGCAGGCATGGCGCCATTTGTATGGGGCCTCACGACCGAAGCAACCTCCCAAATGTTCCCAAAACTTGTTGCCAAGCCAAATTGGGCATTTCATATTAAGTCAAAGCTGATTCTCCAAGCCAGGCCTTCGGGACCTTTCTCACAAGTGAATCTACGAAGCCACCAACAGATGGATACAAAGCATCACGGATGTTCTTCAAGTTCTGATTGTTGGCCTCAGAATGGAGGGTATGGGGAATATTCCTGAATTCTCACACCGGCCCCTGGTTCACTGAAGCTGAACGTTTTGGTTGCAACCTGGGCACCATCCATTCAGCATGTATTGAGCAAACAGCTTTGCCATAGCCCTTTGGGTACACTTGCGAGGCACGAAGTTGAAGTGGATTACCGACCCTGAGATGCAATCAAGTGGGAAGGAGGTGCGTGAAGGAGGCGAGCAAAACCATCCTAGTCAAGAGTCAAGATAGCCCTTATTCGTTGACAATTCCAATTAAGTCTGGCACACCCTGGACTTCCCACGCCCATCAATGTATTTGCGGACTGTGGCATTCTTGTCCTTGTTCTTCTGGATCCGCTTTCTGACACTCTTTGTCAGCTTGACGTGCAGGCGATAGGACCAGGTACTTGGCACAGAAAGAACACTAGTTGACAACTTCCCCAATAGACTCACTACGCAGTTCAAACTCATACATTACTAGGTCCCAAGCGCAGACCCAAAGACAACGGTGGGCTTCATATTCATGTGGCCGTAGCTGCCCATGTGACTTAGTTCATATCGATCTTAATTGAGAGGAACACCATGATCAGCCACTACTGGAAAACTGCAATTTCTGCCAAACATTGAGTCTTTGAGTGGCGGACAATCGGGTCACCAACCATGGCCAAAAGAGCTGAACTGTCTTTGCCAGCCAAGTCATGTAGGGAAAGTGAACCATCAAGGTGCTGGATGGTTGCTCAACCAGAAACACTGCGCATCTCACAAAGGCGAGGAGGAGAAGCAGGACGAGTCTGCATGTGATCCTTGGCAGAGCGAAGTCCGGACAGGGGGAACCATCCATGGCTGTGGGCTGAGATCTTGAAAACCAGGCCATTCCCAATATAGGTTATTCATGGTCATTCCTGAAAAGCTGAAAACACAATGGTCAATGGCCAGTGCCTCGGCACACCCAATCAATGATAGCCAACCAAGGAAAAAAAGGTGGTCTCCATTTTTAGCGCCTAACGCTCTGTAAAACACTTCAACAAGGACACCACCAAACATGTTGCCTTTTAGAACATTAATTAAGACAGGGGGGGCTGGTTTGCCTTTTTGACATAGGCCCAAGGCCCTCCAAAAGGGCGTGATTTTGAACGTTGCGATGTCCCCATATTCACAAATACAAATGACCCGCATGGCGGTCCCGCACACACCAATGCTCCCTCTTTCAGTCTCAAGATGATCTGGATGCTTTTCAAAAACCCTTGCCTTGGCCAAAGCAGAATGGGTCATTGAACTGAAGCACAGTTAGTTGAGGCTTTGTTTGCACAAATCATATCGAATGGCTGGCTTACCAATACTGACATAAGTAGTTATGGATTTCCAAGCTACGGAGTTAATATATCTCCATCTTCACCGGATGTTTCCACATCAAACGGCTTCCTCAGCTAGTGTGGATGACCCCATGGCCAATGAATGTCATCGCAAAGGCACGACTCACCATAAATGCGTTTTTGATTTATATAAGACTTGTAAGGGCAAAGCGATCGCAGCTTCTGTTCAACTTAGTTGGGCCGCCGGTTTACCAAATCGAATGCAGCGTGTGTTGAATGTCACTGGTGTGTGCAAAAGTTAGGTTCCCACTGAAGGCACTGTTGATGGCTCCTTTGCCCGAAAACAAATCTGCATTCACCAGATCCTTAGTGTACAACCCAAGGGCCACCCACTATTGAAGGGTTGAATTCACTTTGACAAAGTGGAATACTGAGTCAGGAGCTCTAGCCGATTGGCTGGCAGGTGTGTTCTCTACGACATAGTCAATGCAATGAAGACTCAGTTCAAAGCAAGCCAATTGAAAACCACATAATAAGTCAACACAGTCAATATATAATAACAAGTGTTATCCACTCCTGTTTTCACATGAGCATAGCCAGGCAGCAATACAATCGGAGCACCAAGGAGCAAGAGAAGCCGGGCTGCTTTGGATGACAAGGCAAGGGGGCTAACAAGAGGCATTGTGGTGTAACTCAAGTGCACTGTAGACTTGAGCACTCAAGCACACTGGCGAACTAGTTTGGTTCAAACAAGCTTCATGAATTGAACGAAATTGCTGGCTTTGCACAACGGTTTGATTGTCCAAGTGCATCAAAACGGTCACCATTTTTCAGACCAGTCGAGAATCGACGTGAATCGACTGTTGTCCACCCCTGGAATCTAGTTGAATGCGTCGTGTCAAGTTACACGCGCACACCGAGAAAGGTGGGGGGCCTTCTGAACAATTCGTCGGTCGACTATCTAGATATATAGATATCTCGTGGTTACTAATAGATCGATAGATAGATTATATATTCGAGATAAATGTCAATGCGCCAAGTCCGGCCCCCCCCTATCCCCTGCAACGGTGCAAAAACCCAAAAGCATCAATGAGGCGAGCCATGGTCGATAGAATCGACTCCGCCCTTGATTGGGATCCATCCCGCCAAAGTCATTGCCAGTCTCCACCTGGGCCACGTCAAGATGTTCATTGCTAATTTGGTGACCTTTAGGGACACTGAACAAAATCAATCTGAACAATAAGGGCATGACCCAAACACATGGCCATACTTTGCCCACGCGATGCTAACCCCTCGTCGCACATTTGCCTTAGTACAAAAGTCCGGTCGTTGTGGGGATCCGGGATGTACTCTTCATTAAACCAATTTCCACTTGAAAGCACTGGCAGTACTTCAATTCAGTACCAGGTACATTGAGGGGAGGATCCGGTTCCATCGCGTCGTTGACTTTCTCAATCCGCTCTTTGGGGACTTTGGAGGCAAAGAATCCATGGGTGTCAAGCCTTGGCGATGGTGTGCAAACAACAGTTGAGAGACCTGCTGCATTTTTTGCATTCTTCCTTACTAGTATTTTCCTTCGGATGCGCAACCATGGGTTGGGGGTCGGGCCCTATTCCAATCGAGCCCGGATCTGCCACAGGTGCTGCATCGCGATCAGGCCGACAGATCGTGAAGGACCTGGGGGGCCCGCAGGGAAATGTCGAACAAAGATTCAGTGGCATGGATCCAAACTTTACAGGTTCTAAGTCGAGTCCATTGATCCATGCACCCCTGGGGACCACACCTGTGGGGAAAGGTCCAGTTCCCAGTCTCCTTGAAGACATTGAACGCTTGTTGGACTTCATCAGGGATATGGAAGAGAAGATCATCAGCGCTCTGGAGGCCCTCCAATTTCTTGATGGTGGCCTCCTTAAATTGCATGCATGTGCGCCAATTTCCCCAAACCAATTACAAAAAATAAACTGCTAACACTAGACCGATGCATTTGCACATAAGAAGATGTCCCACTTTGCTGGGCCAGGGGTGTGTGGGTCCCAAAATTGGTATGAAATTTGCAAGTAAAATGGAACATCACCAGTTTCGGTTACTGTTTGTTGTTGATCAAAATTGCCGAGTATCAAGGTCTTTTGGGTCCAATGTCTTTGGCTTCACTGTCCTTTTTGTCTTTGTCTTTGCCTCACCCTTCTTCTCAGCAAGTGATTCAAAGTCCTCGGCAAGGTTCCTTCTCACGCCCTGGTCTTCCCCTGACAGTTGCCGCTCCATCACTCTTTTTGCGGCCTTTGCAGCCAACTTCATCGGACTCAGCTTGCCTGATGCTTTTGCCTGGTTCTTCTTTTTCTGTTTATTGCTTTCCTTTTGCTTCGCAACCTCGCCCTCCTCAAAAGCAGCCTCTTCTTCATCTTCCTGTGTGTCCCCATCTTCAACAGCAATCTTCTTGCAACTTCCTGGGTAGAGTTCACGATCACCCAGTTGATTGTCCGGCTTCTCAGGCGATACTTTTTTCTTTGGTTCTGCCTTCTTTCGCTTGTCACGCTCCTCATCCTCAGTCTCCTTTGTCTCACGAGCTTCCTTCTTCCTCTTCTTCTTCTCTTGCTGTTTTTGCTCCTCTTCCTCAGCCTCCTTAGTCTCAGGACATTCCTTCTTCTTCTTCTTCTCCTCTGGCTTCTTTGCATCCATTCCCTCAGCCTCCTTTGTTTCATCTTCATTGTTCTTCTTCTTCGTCCTTCCTGGCTTTTTTTGCTCCTCTTCCTCAGTCTCTTTTGGTGGATGACCTTCCTTTTTGTTCTTCTTCTTCTTTGGAGATTTTGGTTCTGCGTCCTTTGTCTCCTCAAACTTTGTCTCACGGTCTTCCTCCTTTTTCTTCTTCTTCTTCGTCTCTTCTTCCTCAGCCACTTTTTCTGCTGGCTCCATCTTCTTTTTCTTCAGCTGTTGGGCGGCTTCATCTTCAGCCTCAGTCTCTGTCTTCCTCCTCCGGTCTGGCCTTTTCCTCTTCTGCTCATTTTCATCAGCCTCCTTGCTCTTTGTATCTCCCATCTTGTTGGGGTCTTCTTCAACTGCTTTCTTCTCCTCCTCCTCCTCAGCAGCTTTCTCCTCACACTTTTTGGCTTCATCATCACCCTTTTGGTTCTTTCTCCCTCTCCCTCGCCCTCTTCCTCTGCCACGGCCTCTGCCTCTCTTCATTTCTTCTGATGCCTCCTCAGCATCACGAAGTTTTCTATCGTCATCTTCACCATCGCCTGCTCCATCCGAATCTTCCTCTGCCTCCTTCAAGGTCCTTCGCATTTTTCTTTGCGCTGACACAATGTCGTCATTGGTGGTGTTCGAAGTCTTTCTGACGAATGCAGCAGCTTCTTTTGCCTTCTCCTCTGATTCCCGGCTTGCAAACTCTTCCTCTGCAATTGGGCCCCTGGTGTCACCAAAAGCTGCTGCTGTTTCTCCGTTCTCATCTGAGTCGATGAATACTTCTTCTTTTGCCGCGGGCTCATTAATGTCTTTTGCTCCGACCTCTGCTTTCTTCTCTCCTCCATCCTTTGCTTCGACCTTTGCTTCT